CCTCTCGTGCATGGAATCCAGTCCCACAGTATCTGGAGGAGAGGGGGCTTCCAAAACAGTCTGCCAGATGGGCATCTTCCTTCGCTGTCCTCTCGCACTTGTTTGGTAGAATCTGCCCCAGGGATGGGTGACCCCACCTCTCCTCCCGGCTGGCTCCCTCACTGCCAGGAGGCTCAAGTGTGCAAGGGCTCTGCGGGGCCGCCGCTGGCTGGAGAGGCAGCGGTGGCCGAGGCTTGGGCCGCCAGGTCCCGGTAAGCAGGGGACTTCAGGAAGCGTGGATAGGAGTCCTTCTCCATCAGGGTGCGAGTCTTCCCCTGAGCCACATCGAAGCATGTGGCCGTGACAGCCTGCAGGTTCATCCTGGTCAGCTCCCTGGTCTCGTGGTCTATGTTCACCTGTGGGAAGGAAGGCAAGCACATGGGTGAGGGGAGGGTGGGCCAGGCAAGGGGTCCAGCAGGCCAGGGCAGGGCGGGGGGGGGGGAACGGGCTGACTGGCAGGATTCTGAACCAGGAACCTGGGGTCTCCTGAGTTGACCATTAACTGGGTTTTCAACTCTGGGCCTGTCCGCGCATCGGACCCAGGGTCTGCCCTCCAATCTCCCGAAGTTTTCAAGCATACAAATCTAATGCCTTTTCATTCCTGCCTCGGGACAGTCCTGGTTCAGTTCGCCATCACCTCTCTCCTCAGGTTAGTGCCAGAGCCTGCTAACTGCTCTCTCTCCTCGACCCTCACTCCTGTGGTCTGTTCTCCAGCCAGCAACTAGAGTGAGCCTTTGAAAACTCGAGTCAGTTTGCCAGCGTCAGGGTCGTCCTCCCGTGTCACTCAAAGGAGAAGCCAGCGCACGTGCTGGGCCCTCATCTGGTGCCCTGCCACTCACTGGTCCGACCCCCTCTCCTAGTCTGTCTCCTTCACTCTCAGTGCTCCACTCGGGCCCACTCGCTGCTGGGTTTGCACTTGCCATTTCCTGGGTTGGAATGTTCTCCCCTCCCTTCTTTTAGAAGGGAGGGAAGTGTTCATCTGTCACCTTATGCGACAGCCCACCCCTCACTTCCCTTTGTAAAGCAAAAAGTCTTCAAGTCTGCCCACCCCGTACTCTGGTGGGGTTTGCTTGATCAAAACCTGCTTTGCTTGGATCAGAACACACACCGTCCCCTGACCTGCATTTACTCATTTCATTGGTTATTGTCATCTTCTCTTATTAGGGCAGAGACCTTTTGTCCCTGCTATGTCCCCAGTGACTATAACCGTGCCTTGCATGTAACTGGTGCTCAATAAATCTTTATGGAATAACAAGGAAAAAATTCGAGTGCTCAGAAAATACAATACAGCGTAGGATACAAAAGCAAGGCATTACTAGCTCTCTCCACAAGGTGGCCCCACTCGCTTTAGCAAACGCTGGTGGCCCGCCGCGGAGACCTGAGGGCAGGTGCGAAACTTCGCTGCCCAGGGACCAGCCAGCCTGAGGCAGGTCAGCCAGGGGACTGAACCGGGTCACACAAGGTCCCCAGGTTGCCCTGTCTCCACACTTGTGTGTTTTGAGCCTCTAAAAAGGCCTTAGCTTGCAAAAGTGGGTATGGACAGAAGCCACACCACCTGCCAAGCCCTCTAGCCCCATCAGCGAGACTGAGGGTAAGGGCACCAGGAGCAGCAGAGCACCTGGGTTTCCTAGTCTCCGGCCCCAGAAGCCCATCCAGCCCCGTGCCAAAGATCACTATTTAAACCCAACCCTCCCCTGCTGGACAGCCCCCAGCCCCAATCCTCAGTGGGGAAGGAGCAGGCAGGGCGGCAGGATCCCCAGAACATGCTGAGGCTCTGACCTCTTTGGGGGCTTCACGGCAGATAAATTCCTCAAAGATCTTGTGAGCCCGGGAGGCCAGCTTGGTAGCTGACCGGAGCTTCTTGAACTCCTCACAGGCCAGCCAGAACTCCAGGTTCTCCTCACTGAACTCCGTCTTCAGGAAAGCGTGGAAGGCGGCCACACCATCTGGGGTTGAGGGGAGAGAGGGAGAGACAGGTTAGACATCACGACAGCAGGGAATAAAAGAAGACAGCCAGCAATTGTAGTTAATGGCTCTATTTTTAGGATGTAATTTTCTTGAACAAGGACCTGCCTTTGTATTCTGAACAGAGCCTAGCACACTAGGGGATCATCATTATTACTATGACTATTATTTTGCCCATGCTTTTCAGCATCCCTCAGGCTGGCTCCAGAGCACATGGGTACACATGTACCATCCACAGACAGACACAACAGGGTCCTACTCACTTCTACTGCTCAGTAGCAAGTCAAATGACTCTTTCCACCCCAGCACATCTTCTGAGAAATTTCTGCTAAAAAAAAAAAAAAAAAAAAAGCCAAGATTTTAATTAAAAAAAACAAAAAAAAACCAACACACTAATGTACAGCATAAATCCTAGCCAGAACTCTGATAGAGGTTGTATAATTCACACAAAGACTTGCTCGGTGATTATTGCAGCTGACTTCTCAAACTCTTAGTTGAGGCTACAGGTATTTTTCTAGAGGACAGTTCAATAATAAGAAACCAGAGCCAGGAACCTTCTGGCCCTCAGTAAATAACTCTAAGACGGTCTCTTCACTGTCCAAAATTGTTTCTGTTCCTCTGACTCTGAACTTTGTTTTCTACACTTCCCCCATGGAAATCAGGGCCTCAGGAATAGAGATTAAGTATACCCATAACCCCACAGACTAGAACACCACCTTGCACCCTTGATGTTCAATATGAAAGGGCTCATAGCAAAGCGCATGCTAATGGAAGAAGAGTCATTGACTGAAAAGCCTCAAGTATTCTTAGACCCTGTCCTAGCCCTGGTTGCACGGACGATGACAACTCCAGGGGGGACAGTCTGGTAATTAGACATTCCGACCCTGGACACACACATCTGTTGGTGGCCTCAGAACCCTGGAGCCACCTACCCAGTCACCCATAGCAGACCAGCAGGAATCTTCACTAAAATCTCCAGGAAGGGGTCATCGAGGCCCACCCTAGCATGTCCTAATATCTCCCTGTATTTTCTTTCTTAGGGCTCTTTTCCTAAAACTGGCTCCCTCCCCTCCAGGGCCCGAGGCCAGCTAGCAGGACTTACCCCTCTTTGCTGTGTTTGCAGCTCCACTCGAACTTGCCAACACTCCCAGTATCAGAGCCCAGCTCTGATTTGTGAAGAAAGATCCCCAGCCGTGTCTTGAACTCTTTGGCTCTGAAAGGCAAAGCAGGAACACGTAAGGATCCTACATTGGCTCAGCCGGGGCTAAAAGGTTTATGGGGTCCCGAAGAAGAGTTTAGGCTGGTGTCACCCTCATTCCAGCCTCAAGCGTTCCTAGGAATCTTCTGCTGTTCCCAGGGCTTAAACTCTGCTTGTCTCTTAGTATCACCAGCCCAGAAACAGCCCAGAAAGTAATGTTTCAGCTGTTCCTCAGTAGGACTTACACTTTCTGAGTTTAGAGCACAGCACACATGGGCTTTTTCCCACTTAAGTCACGCTGATCTATCTTTGTGCCTGCTGATTAGCAGAAGGCAGTTCAGCACCCTGTAGGCTTATCCTGAAGATTTCTGGAACTGTGTGTAAATTGATTCCTGCTTTCACTTTCTTCACCTTTTCCTTCCCAGCCACCAGCTCCAGCAAAGGACTAGAGGTGGTTGAGTAGCTCCCTGGGAAGTGGGCACATCCCTCACTGGTGGACCCAAAAAAACACCCCCCTGCCATCTCAGGGCCCGGGGCAGGCCATGCTCCTAGATCTGGGCTGTAGAATGAAAACCAAGTGCTGAAGAAACTAGAAAAGGGAGTTCTGCCTGCGGATGCCAATGTGCTCTTCCTGCAGCCGGTCTTCGGCAGGTCCGCTGAGGACTGCCATTTGTCGGAGGATGGGGAATGACAGTAAGCAGGGGTTCCTCTGCTTCCCGTGGTTCTTACTTTCTTCTCTCGGCCCGTCGCTTCTCTAGGACTCTAAGGGAAGCATCTGAAAACGTGGAACCCAGGTGACCTCTGCCTCTCCACTCGAGTCACTAGAGTCCCATTCTCCCGCCCGCCCGGTCCCCAAGCTTGCCGCTCCACTCCCTAAGGATTGGGGGGGGACGGGGGGGACTTGGACTTCTTCCTGCGGGCAGCGGTCAAGATCCAGAGACAAGCTCCTCTTACCTCTCCAGACAGGTGGTGGGGAAGGCGGCCAGGGTCCGGCACATGGCTGCGGGTTCAGGGCAGCACGTCGTGGGGAGGATGGTGACGGGCTCCAGTGGTCTCCGCGAACGTGAAGAGGCAGAGGGGCAGGGGCGGCGGGCGGCACTAGTCAAGGCGCTTTAGCTGGATCAGGCAGCACGCGCGGAGTCGCAGCTACCCCGGCCTTTATTACCTCGGAGGGAGCGGGGCGGGGCTGAGCGCCGCCGACCAATCGGAGAGCGGGACGGCGCGCGGGGAAGGTGGAGGCGGGGCCCGGGAGCTCGACGGGGCGGGGCGCCCGCAACTTGCGCACCGCCGGGCGCACGCGGCTGCTCTCCCCTCCGGGCTGCACGGGGTGCGGAAGGAGAAGCGGCGGGCAAGTCACACGGCCCGAGAAGCGCCCACTCAGTTTAGTAGGAAAAAAACCCGTCGGCCCCTAGTAAAATCGGAAAACCAACACAGCGGTAGCGGGCGGATTTGCGCGGGGGGTGACGCACTGGGGAGGCACACACCGTGCGGACCACAGCCTGCGCCTGATCCTGCTCGGTCCTCACGGACGGGAGCAAGGAGTGCAAGCCGCGCAAGGCAACGTCTTGATTGCACTGATTACTACCATTTATTGTGCTCCTACCCGAATGCTCATGGGGCAAAGTAGTAAGCCCTTTACCGCAGCTCCTCATCTCATCTCCAACGTTTCAGAGATGAAGAAACTGAGTCAGAAAGTTAAGGAGACTTACCCAAGATCTGGGGATTGGAATTAGACAAATGGCCCGGGGTGGGGTGGGGGCGGGGCGGGGCTCTTTATTGAGCATCTGTGAGCCAGGCATTTTTACTAAGTGTCAGGTTAATTAATTTGCTCAACATTACACAATTAGTGTTACGCCAGAATTCAAATACGAATTTACCATGCTTTTTCCACTGCCCTCACCAGCCAAAATTAGAATCCCCACACCTCTGTAAAGTGATGAATGATCCTGGGTTTAAGCAGCAGCTAGTTCAGTGTCCTTATCTCTAAGGTCAAGGTGAGAAATACCCTCCCTCTCTCCTCACCTTCCCATAAAGGCCTTACAGCACCCTTCACCTCCCACCGTGGCCCCTCAGTTCCCCCTTGGGATTGCTATTAATGAGGCTGCCTGTGAGGTTTAGAGTGTGGAATCCAGAGCTGGATTCCCAGGTTTCGAATCATGGCTCCACCACTTACTGATAGGAGACCTTGGGCAAGCTCCTTAACCGTTCTGTGCCTCAGTTTCCTTTTCTCTAAGATGAAAATATGATACACCTATTTCATAAAGATGTGAGTATTAGGTAAGTTCTTAGTTTGAATTCCCCAGGAGACAGGAAACACAGTTCCCCTGAGGCAGAGCCCTGCTAGGGAGAGTTCTCAGACCAGAGAGGGATTGAGGGAAACAGCGTTGCTCAGAGGAAGGAGTTAAATGCCAGGTTGCTGCAACAGAGACCACAGTTGGCCCCAGGGCCTTTGCACCACATTGACCATTCATTGAATGTGATTGCCTCCAAGAACGTGGCTTAATCTTAAGCAAGGCCACCCCCTCTGTTAAGGCCAGAGGGACTGTGCTGGCAGCCTACAGCAGACAACAGGCTGGAGAATGAGGGCCGGGGTCCCAAATAGGGGATCTTGGTGGTGTACCGTAGCACCCCCAACAAGGTGCTTAGATCAGTGCTGAACACATAGTTAGCACTCAATAAATGTTAGCTCTCAGATTTATTTATGAGGGACACAGGAATTGCTAGACAATAAGGAAAAGTAGTTTTTTGTGTGTCTTGGTATTTAGGTTTTTATTTCACGAGGGGCATCTAGGAGTTGCTGTTCCTCAGCAAGGCCTGGAAATAAAGGGTCAGAAGAGAGAGATATAAGAGGAGAAGAGGTCCCCAGCTGTGAGAGGTGGGTGAGACAGCCCAGAAAACCTGGTTGGGGAACGAAAGGTTGAAACCACAAAGGGGGAGGGGACGGGAAGGCCTGGAGATAGCAGTTGGTCAAAACATAATGCACTCTGAAGAGTAGAGTCCAATCCTTCCCCAGCCTCCCAGTGGGTTAGTAAACAGGGGCCGGTGCCGAGCAGCTCACACATTGTCAGCATCATCCCAGATGTCAGCCTCCCCCCCCGCCCGCCCCCGCCGCCCATCTCCGGTTCTTCCTTTCTCTCAAGTGCAGGACTGCATTGGCGTGGGGCAGGGAGAGGGCAAGGGTTGTGGTGTGCAGCCAGGCAATGGAAGGATGCCTTTTGAATGTCTGTTTCTTCCATAAGCCCACGCGGCCATCAGCAGGACTTCTGTGGAGGAGTTGGTCGGCTGAGGTGAGGCCTGCTCTTTCACCCGTGCTGCTCAGGCTCCAGGGCATGATTGTATTATTCAGCTGCTGGTGTCTGGGACAGCTTCTCTTCAAGCGACGAAAACAAGTCTATGGATGAATCGAATGCCCGGTCTTGCCCTCAGGAGCACCATGTTGGAATCAGCCCAGACATAGGCACATAACAATAATAATCGTGATTATGCACAGAATTTCCCTAAACCTTCCTGTTCCATCTGCATCCCTGTGAATAGGCCAGAGGAGCCTTTTAATTTCCATTCTGCAGACAACAAACTAGCCAGTGCCTAAGGTGCCCTCTCTTAAGTGCCCTGGATCAGAAAACAGCTGAATCGTGCCCAGCTCTCCAGATTCCTGAGCTGGTGCTCTCTCCCACTCGACAAAGAAAGCAAAAGAGGCAAAAGAGACAAAGCGGTGCTTGAAGTCTGGCACATCCAATCCAAGAGCACAAAGCTCGGGGCTCAAGAGGAAGAGCCCTTTCTGAGTTCAACCTGCCTTCCCGGTTGCCATGGTTACCTCTTCAGTTTCCAAGCAGAAACTTTTTGAAGTTCACAATGTATCCCAAATTCTCTTCCCAGCAGGTAGGCTGGTTCACATCTGCAATTTCAGTAATGACTCGACAGTTGCTGTAAATCCAGCAAATGGAGCCCACCTGTGAACCGCACTGGCTTTGACATGAACCTGACCTCGTTTTTTGCCCAGCGCTCGCCGCACAGCTGTGCTGTCTGTCATGGAGGGTGTGGGGACACAGCTCTGCAGCCTGGGTCATCCGGGAGCTGGATTAACTATCCCATGACATCCCAGCCACACGGCCCTCCACCCGCCTCTGCTTCTCTGCCCTCCCCATCCCCAGCACCACGCTCTCCCCTCAGCAGAAGGCCACGGAAGACCTTTATCTCCTGAAAAGGGTTAGGGGAAATGGATACACTTTCTTGGCTTCTGATTTGGCACAGATGGTCCCCACAGGGGTCTGGATGTTCCCAATTCAATCATCGATCCACTGATAAATATTTATTAAGAATTTATTATGTTCCCTAGCCGGTGGGGAAATCGCACAACTTTTAGGCTCTTCGCTGAGTTTCATGACCTTCTATTTCCTCCTCTCGGAGGAAAAGGAACTAGCACAGCAGGGAAGGAGGGGTGAACCGAAGTTGTTGACAGGAGTCGCAACAGAAGTCCAGAAAGAAAGGTCAGCCCAGGAGGGTCTGCAGTATTGAAAGAGGAGAGAGTGGGGTTTGAGCAGGATGGAATACAGCCGGAACATGCCAGACATGTAGGAAGGGGGATGCTCCACGTGGGAGAAATAGCTAGGAAAAGCCAATTGTAATTTGGTGGTGCAGAAAGATTTAGAAATTCCCTATATACAGCAGAGGCTCTCAGGCATGTAGGATGCACAACTGGATGTCACTGTTTGATAGAACATAAAAACAGCAGGAGCCGCACATACTGTGAGGCAGCTCGGTAAGGAGAGAGAGAGAGATCCCTGCCTGAAGACGGGAAAGAGGGGCTGGATACATCAAACAATTGTTTTTCCCGATGATCCTTCAGAGCACGGGGTGCAGCTCACTTTGATGGCTGTTTTATGCTTCTCCCACTTCTCTTCCTCTTTCCTCCCTCCTGTCTGGGAGGAGCTCTGAGGGCATGGGAGTTTGGGAAGCCTGCTTTTCTGTCCCCACCCAGGCCAATGGACCCCTAGCTTCCAAGGCAGGGCAGTCTCAAGCCACTTGGGGAGGAGGCTGAAAATCGTCAGTGGTACCCATGGCTGGTAAGGGCATGTCTAGACTCCTCCGTACGGCATATAAGGCTCTGACCACCTGATCTCATATCCATCACCTCACACCCTAAATCCCAACCAAACTCAGCAGTTGGCAGGTTCCCAGGACTCCACGCCGCCTTGCACGTACAAAGCCCTGAGCCTGAGGTTCTCTTGGCCTAAACATCCCGTTCCTGTCTGTACTACTCGTTTTAAAAGAAATTCCCTTCATGCTCCTTCCAGCCAGTCCTACCGACCCCCCATCAGAGGCAACCACTATTCTTACTCCTAGAACCATAGCACCAGTGTTGACTCTTCTTGACTTTTGAACTTAATTTTGAGGCCAAATTTTGATTTCCAGTCTGTTTACTTATGAGCTCCTGGAGGGTAGGGACCATTGCCTTGGTAACCTTTTCATCTTCAGCCCGTAGCACCACACCCAGTTCAGGGTATGTTCTAAATAAACGTTGGCTGTGCTTCCCCAACTCTCTTGGCTCATGCGGGACCCTGGTTCCCACCTGGAGGGAGCCCTGGGGCAGCTTCCAAGGGAGGCAGATCTTCAGCTCCCAAAGTCTTGTGGGGGTTTTGGGCCCTGGGGACCTTTGCTCACCTTCAGCCTCCTGGGAGCCTGACTGCTGATAGATGGCGCTTCCAGGGTTCATGCTTTCTTGATTCTTAAAGGCTGGCTGTGGCCCTTCACAGGCCCCTTGCCAGGCGTCTGTGGTCTGACACTCATGCATGGGCTTGCCATCCTGGCCGTGATGGTCGGCCCCACCCCACACCTTAACCAACCGTCGGCCTGCCCCCGACTCCTGAATTCTCCCTGGCTGCCAGTGCCCGGCGTCCTCCCCACAGCGGGCCTGTCCCTGGCCTATCTGCACACTCGTCCCTTGCTGCCTCCGCTCTCACCTGCAAATGCTCCTGCCATCATTTTGATGCAGTCCCTAAAGTACCGACTAAATTAATGGCAGTAAATGAGCCCCGTCTCATCCTAAGACTGCAAAATAGGAGAAGTACCCGAGAACCCTGGGTTCCTAAGTGTCTTCCCCTTTCTCACCCTCCCTCCTCACTCCCTTTGTTCACTTTTGTCATGAATGTCATATTCCTGAGAGCATTTCACTTCCACGCCTGGAGACATAGAAACACATTTATCACAATGTGAATTTTTCTCATTTAATAATTCTTCAAGGCCCTGAGGAACCACTTAGGAAGAAAGATCAGAGGGGATAAAAGGCAGCTCTGGGATCTGCCTATCACTGAAAGGTGCCGTTTACAATTCCAACCCCTGATTCTTCCCAGGCTGAGGAGTGAGGACTTTTGGATTACAGAACTGGAAAGTCGGGACTGGACTTTCTGTGCTGGACTGTGCCTCTTTCCAGACAGGAAATGAGCACTGGGGGGCGGGGGGGGGAATCTAATAGATGCCACCCCCTAATTGGGGAGGAAAGGGGAATTCTGACCAACTCACTCTGTCACATTCCTCAACCAGGACAACCCCCTGTGCTTGATGTGAATAAGGAGAAGGAACACTGCTCTCTGGGAAGACTCTGCCAACAGCCTAATTGTTGCTTCAAGGGGGACAGGGATACAGAATAGGTGAGGAGGAAGCATTGTTTTACTCTCAAACTGTGTGTGTGTGTGTGTGTGTGTGTGTGTGTGTGTGTAGGGCAGGGGACTGAAAGACCCCCACAGAGGAAACCCTCAACTGCATTAATTTCAGCCCCAACCCACCCCCCCTCCTTTCTCAGGAAACCTCAGCACATCAGATGATCCCTGATTCCAGAGACACACGATGTGCTCTCCGTGGTTGGAAAGCCACCTTTGAGATATGGGTGCTCGCCTGGGCAGATCTAAACCGGCCTTAGGGAGGCCTGGCCCCCTGAATCTTGATGCCCAGCCCAGTGTCCCGCACAGCACGGGGACTTTTTCAATGGTGAATGAGGAATAAAGGAAATGCATCCCACTCTAGATGCAGTGGATGTCTTCGGGGTCATTGTCAACCTAGCTTCCCAGGATCTTGGGGATCACAGACATTCTTGGCTGAACTTCAACCAGACAACTTTCTGGAAATGGGTCACAGACAGGCCGGATTACGCAGTGAAACATGACTACACACCTCCCAGGCGTGCCTCCCACGGTGGCTTCTGGAGTCCCCCAGGGTAGGCAAACTGGCACTAAGTCAGGGAAGGGTCTGACAGGCATGAAGAGTTCCAGAGCCCAGCTTAAGCTGGAATCTGTGCCACATCATTCTACTTCCCTGATGGTCTCGAGCAAGGAAAACCCCAACACACTTAGGCCCCCTCACCCCTCTCATAGGCATTTCGGAGAGGCATGTGCTGGGAAGAAGCTGGGGGCTGGACCCAGTAAGAACAGACTTCAGCTGCTTGGCTGACACCTGGCCTGCTCGAAACCCCATCTAGGAGGAAGGGTAACTGCCATTTGTAGGCCTCAACGCGATCTAACGCTGAGCTCAGTGCCATATAGACACCACCACAGATGGCGAACCAGACAGCCATGGGTAAGTAATCCAACCAAAGTGACATACCCAGGAAACGGAGGTGCTAGGATTGGAACCCAGTTCTGTCTAGCAGGTTCCAACCCCCGGCTACTCTAGGTCTGAACTCTTGCTTCTGAGCAGCGGACGCTGGTGCTACTTCAGGCCCTGTCTCCACACTGCCCTAGTTAGGGATTTCTGGGTGCTTACGTAAGCCACAGATGAGATGTAAGGCCCGTGGAACAGCAAACCCAACATGTGAACATCACTGGCACGTGCAGAGATGATAGGTCGGAGCTCTAGGAGGGCTTTTGCCATCCCCTGGGAGTTAGGCACCTGCCCTCCGTGCAGCCTCTCTCCCTCCTTTGAGTCACCTCCCATGCTCCCGCATGTCCATAGACAGAGGGGGGTGAAGGTGCGGAGGGCCATTGCAGGGAAACAGAGGAGAAGCAGTTTTGTAGGAAACAGAGAAGGCTCGAGGAGCAGCAACAGTAGCTGTGGGCGCCGGACAAGTTGTAAGGAAACGTGCCTCTCACAATGTGCCCGCGACACCTGAGCAGAGGGAGAAACGTGCTGTGCTGTGTGAGCAGTCGGAGGCTGGGGCTGGCGCGGTTGGGGCGAGTGGGGAGGGAGCAGGGGGAGCAATGGGAACAGGTGGTCCTTTCACAAGCTCCCAGGCCATCAGCCCCTGACACAGCAGCTGTCCTAGAAACAGGCCCAGGTGGACAGAGGGAAGAGCACAGTGGGGGGTGCGTGATGTTTTGCAGAGAAAGAAATAAGCTCTCCCTAATGGGCCCCACACATCTGAGCACGGGGAGACATGCAGCGAGCTGGGTGACTGAGCCCGCCCGAGCCCCTCCTTCTCCACCAGCCCTCTGGCTGTGCTGCTCCAAGTGTGGCCGCAGGGGAACCCGCCGGATCCAAATCCCCGGGCTTGCCGAACCCCCAGGCTTGCCGAACCCCCAGGCTGCAGTAATAACAGTGATTATGCTAGCCTTTAGTAAGCATTTTCTGCGCTCTACATTTATGGTAATTCTAGTCTTCAGCTTGTTTAATCCTTGCACTAACCTCTGGGGATGGTACTCTCCTGTTGTTGTTTTACAGATGGGGAAATGGAGGCATTGAGAGGTTGAGGAAGGAACGGAAGGCCGAGCAATGACCCCGCATGGGGTCATCTGATTCCAGCACCCGTGCATTAGCCACTCACTCCACACACTGCTCCCGCCTCCTCCAGAGTTCCAGAAAGCTCTCTCCTGCTCTGGGTTTCAAAGCGCTCATTTCTCCAGCTCCAAGAGGATTTGAGAGATGAAGTTCTGTCTTCTCTTATGGGTCAATCTGGTCTTCACTTCTCAGGAAGGGTAGAGAAGGCACAGGAAAAGAATGTTCTGCTTCTAAGACTCAGTTTATAGAGGGCCAGCCTTGGGACCCCCAGCAGCTTTTGACCCTAGGGCCATGCTGTTCATCTAGAACATCCCTCCAATCTAGAAATGGTTCTTCACTTACCCAGCAACTACTGAGTCCTCACCTGGAGTTTGGAATTTCATACATATGAGCTCATATAATGCTCACTGTGAGCCTGCCACAGGGGCTGCCACAGGGGCTCATCTCCCACCTCAGTGGCCACTCCTCTCGCCTTCTGTCTGTCCATCTGGTACAGGTTTGCTCAGGCTGTGGCCTCGACCCGCCTCTCTTTTTGTATGATGGCCTCTTCCAGAGTAAGTTGTTATTGTAACCATGTCTGTAGGCTGATGACCACCAAACCTACCTCTCTGGCCCCTGCTAGAGTTTAAGGCAAGTTAGGTGCCTTCATACTTAACGTGTCTAAAATGGATTCAGTATTATGTACCTGCCGCCGCATTTGACTAGATTAATGACGTTAATTAATGGCAATAAAGCATCTATTCACCTGCCTTTGAAAGAAATCACACTCGCCATCAGTGACCCTCCCTTCCATCCCTCCTAACTCGTCAGCCTCCAAATCCCGTCTACTGGGATCTGATCTCTGGAATCTTCCTCCATCTTCACAACATTTGTATGTTAACCCTCTCGTATGCTAACCGTCCTTCCCATTCCACCTACTCTGGTGCCAGATAAAGATAAACCAGAGCATGGCATTTCTCTCTTTCAAAGACTTCAGTGTCTCCCACCTTCCCCAGGGTCACCCTGAAACTCCTTACCAGGACATTCCAGTTCCTCCACAGTCTGGTTCCAATCAGTTGCTCCAACCTGTTCTTCTACCAGCTCCCCTACCCCTTCAGCTCTGGTCACACCCTCAACCTTTCCACCAAATACTCCATGTTGCTCACCCACTTACTTTTGCTTGCATTGTCATTGAGACCTGGAATGACCTTCCTCTTTTGTCTGACAAACTCCTATTTATCTGGCAAGACCCAACTCAAAATTCACCTCTGTGAATACCCTTATTCTTCGAAGATGCGCGCTGAAATGCTTGGGAGTGGATGTCATGACACCTACCACTTACTGTCAGATGATTCAGCTATATGCCTACACAAATGCCTGCCTATCTATGTGTCTGTGTCCACTGATCTGTATATCGAGAGAGAGAGAAAGACAATATGGCAAACCATGGTTGAATCTGAATGGTGACTGTAAATCATCTTTTAATTCTTCCATATGCTTGAAAAAATTCAGTTATAAGTTGGAGGGAAAAAATGACCTCATCCCTGATAGTTTCCTCATTGCCTCTGACATTCCCATAACACTCTGTGTTTGCAACAATACAGCACTTTACTACATTTTCCTGTAATTTTGTGTCTAGCAACTTTCTCTTGCATAGATTGTGAACCTGCAAAGCCACAGTAGCTGCACACAGTAGGCACTCAATAACTGTTTATTTGCATGAATGAATGTCCTCTCCTGTAAGGCTGAGCTGAAGGAGCAATAAGCCATAGGAACAGGAAGTTACCGTACTCCAGCCCCCCGAGGCTTCGTTCTCCATCACATGGATGCTCACGAGCACAGGAAAGGCACCTGGATAGGGAGGGAAGATAACACATGGCTATTTACTGGATTGACAAAACGTAATTGAAAACGCAGGAGATCTAGTCTCTGTCACTGGTTCTATGACTAAGCAAGCTGTGTGACCATGGGCAGCCACCAGCTTCTCTGGGTCTCAGTTTTCTCCCTTGTAAACAGGGAGTAATGATGTCTGTCTTAGCCATGAAATGGGGGGAGAGTGTGTGCATGAGCTCTGAGAAGTCTAAGCTACATGCAAAGAACGCAGTGCTATCCTGATTTTTGTTATTAAACTGAGCAGGACTTTGTCCTGACCTTGACTGGTGAAGAATTCTGAGTCACTGGTTTTTAGGGCAGGGGAGGTGCTTTGCGTCCATAAAGAATGGGAATTTCCACCCAGCTGGCTTGGGCCTCCTTTTCCCCACCCCTCTTTCCCTTTCCTCTGATCAAGTGATGATTGCTGGGAAACAGACAAAACTGGGGATCTTAAAATAGAGCAGCTAATGTCTGAACTCTCTGCCCCAGGCTCAGTTGCACCACCAGTGAACTTACGCAGCACACACACAGAGAAATTGGCTCACGTGGCACCCAGCCCCCTGAGCTGGAAGACCGAGGCTATGGAAAAAGTCATGCGTTGATTCCAGAGAAAAGCGGTCATCCAGGAATGCAGTGTTTTGGGTGGCTGCCCAGCCCCAGCTCCATCCGTCTGGATGAGATGCTTTGCCCTGATGCTTCTGTATCCTCCAAGGCCCTGGGCCCCGCCAAGGACCAGCTCTTTGTGGAAGCAGTGGCAGTCCCACGAGCCGCAGCAGGCTGGGGAAAGTCAGTGAGGGGCCTCTGGGGGAGAGGCTCCATGACTCACTGGTTTCAGAAAAGCTTGACTTCCCAGGCTGTGAATGCTTAAGTTGGGGATGCTTATGCAAAAAAAATGGGCAGACTTCAGTGCCTGGCAGTTGAGGGGCCCCCGTGAGGATGGGGAGGAGGTCCCTCAGGCAGCTTGCGTTCAGGGAAGGAAAACAGGTCATGAACAAATAGCAAATTGGGAAAAATGATTGCCAATAATGACTAACACAATCAAGGAAACAGAAACAGGGGGAACTTCTTTAAGTTGAGGGGTTTGGAAAGGTATACGAGTCAAGTTCCTGTTGCTAAGGACAGAAATGAACTTTCTCTGAGAAAAAAAAATTTTTGAAGGCGGTTCGGGGTAACCCGAAGAATTTTCAGACAGTCTCAGAACACAGATAAGAACAAAGGGAGGCTCAGCAGCCAAAAATCCCTCCACAAAACCACTCTGATGAACGCCCAGCAGGTACCAGCAGGTACCAGATGCCTCAGCCTGCTCCACAACCACAGCTGGGACTCCCCAGACACCGCAGCCGGCTTTGCCGCCCTGGAAAGCGGATGCTGCCGTCCGCTAGCCCCAAAGTGGATTCTCCACCACCTCATTGTTTTGCATCACCGGCTCCTGACTCAAGGCCCCAGAGGGGTGTACCTAATT